CCTTAGAGTCGGTGGTAGACTCTGTAACTCGAATCTTTCAGAAAACACAAAGTATCCAATCATTCTTCCCAAAAGTCACCAAGTTACTGAATTGATAGTCAAACACTTTCACGAAGTGAACCTTCACGGAGGAGCCACATTAACATTATCTGCTCTGCGACAGAAATATTGGATCGTTAATGGCCGAGAAATTGTAAGAAAAATAATTTGGAAATGTATAAAATGTTTTAAAAATCGAACAAGCACATCCAGTCAGATAATGGGCGACCTACCTGCTTCTCGCGTATTGCCGGATAGAACATTCTCGAATACAGGACTAGATTTTGCAGGCCCCTTTTTAATTAAAGCTAGGAAAGGAAGAGGAGGAACGAGATATAAATGTTACGTTTGCCTTTACATATGCTTTCACCACAAAGGCCATTCACCTAGAAGTGGTCAGTGATCTAACAACTGAAGCATTCCTAGCATCTCTGAAAAGATTTGTGTCACGCAGAGGAAAACCCAAGAAAATCTTTTCCGATAGAGGAACCAACTTTGTTGGGGCTGATCGAGAATTAAGAAGATACATAGCTACACTTTCCTCTGACGAAGCATTTCAAAACTACCTGAGCGGTGAAAATATTCAATGGATCTTCAATCCTCCTGCTGCCCCTCACTTTGGAGGCCTTTGGGAGGCTGGAGTGAAACAAATGAAGATTCACTTAAAGCGGACTATTGGTACCCAGGTTCTGACATACGAAGAATTTCACACCTTAATTACACAGATCGAGGCGTGTTTGAATTCAAGGCCAATAGTTTCCATCTCATCTGACTCTGAAGATTTTAATCCTTTAACACCTGGACATTTCCTAATTGGGACTACATTAACAGCAATTCCTGAACCTGATCTTACAAATAATAAGCTAACCCCTGCTGAAAGATGGAAATTGACACAGCAAATTTTCCAGAGCTTTTGGAAACGTTGGTCTAGAGATTATCTTTCACAATTACAAGGGCGTACCAAATGGTTGAGGGATAAACCAAATTTAGCCCTCAATGACTTAGTCTTGATAAAGGACGAAAATTTGCCTCCATTAAAGTGGCGATTTGGACGAGTAATTGAACTATATCCTGGTGCTGATGGAAAAGTTCGTGTTGTGAAACTAAAAACTTTATTGGGCGAAATGAAGCGTCCTATACATAAACTTTCCCGCTTACCATTGAGTGAATAAGACTCTAAAACAAAAAAAAACCATTAATTGTATATTCATAATTTGTGTCTTTATTATTATTATTAATTCAATTATGTTTCAGATTCAGAGAATGGACCACAATTGTGGATTATGGTAATTTAGCAGTTTCATTATTTTGTTTTCCTTCTAGAGATTGTAAGTATGTTTTATTTGTAAAATTTTGTGCTAAATTTAATGTTGTTATTCAATTTAAATTTGTCATTATGCATTTTTATTTTATATGATATACTGTTGAACTTTTGGAAAACTTGTTTGAATCTAAAATTGAAGATCTTTATAATAATGTTGTAATGAACCAATGTTCATCGGGGCGGAGTATGTTCCGTCTTTTTGGTAGATAGGTGGCGCTCTTGATGCGCGCCGATGAAAAATATATCACTTGACGCTTGAACATGAAGAATGACGCATGTCATATTTATTTGATGCTTGATTATGTTTCATGGCCGCTATAGGCGGAAGTAATATAAGTATATAAGTTTATCGTTAATAAATGTTATTTCTATGTTCCGTGAACTCTTGAAATTTTGATTTGAAATTCTAATGCTCTCCCAACCTTGACTCCTGAAACGAAACGATCTTTGTATTTATGACTCATGAAGAGAGACACCATACAACAGGAGCCCTAAATAAGATGAGCTCCGGTATTGCTTTTTATAAAACTGAACAACAATTTAAAGGGAAAAAAATTAGAATTCATAACGTTTTAGTTTAACAATAAGCAGACTTTGCAATACTCTATTTCCCTAGAAATACGAACTCGTGAGAACATGAGACGTTCAAGTAAAGTTCCCTCACTCAAATGCGGAAACCCTTTTCCTTTAAGAAGGGCAATAAATTTGGGGAAGTTTGTTTAGGAACGCGTAAATTTCTCGCCATGCCATCGTATCTAGTGTATTGTTATCGATGGTTAGTTATCCTCGCAAGAAGGAAAACTTGTGTTCTTAAATGTGCGTTAAGTGACAGCGAGTACAGTAAGAGTGAAATACTGAGATTACATCCTATACGTCCTATACATCGTCTTCCCACAGTATCCACTAATGTGGGAGAAAGCATAAACAGCAACTTTACATTCATCCTTAGGAGTCAGATTCAGGACTCATTTTACCCCTGATACACATCTGCTTAGTGGCTATAATTATAACAGCAGAGAGCCGCGGTCAAAGAGAACGTTCTCTCTCACCAAGATTCCCCTCATTTTTTGTTTCCACCCACTCATACCCTCGTTCTGTTTCGCCCTGGAATTTTCATCAGCTATACTTTAAGTATATTTAATTTTTGTGATGATAAAAGAACTTTTTCACCCTCCTATGATCAGAGCTTAAATTGGGCCGGAGCCCCCCCGGAATATATCGGGTTCCGGTGCTTCTTAGTTTTTGTAATACATCATAATTCTAGCCGGAACGCACAGGAGCCCTGAATAAGAAGGCTGCGCCACTTCTTTTATGTAACTGAATTACAATTACAGTAGAAATTTTATCTCGAAAATCTTATTTTAACAATAAATTTATATTAAAAATCGCTTCTTAAATTTCAATTTATCCCTTTACATTTTATTTAATTTTAATTATTTAATTACTTCAATCTTTAATTATTTCAATAAATAATAGTTAATTATCTAATAATTATCAATTAAATTATAATTGATTATCTAATAATTATCAATTAAGTTGTAATTAATTAATAATTGTGTAATAATTGTTTATTAAATAACAATTTATAAACATTAATTAAATAGTTATTAATTAATTTAATAATAATGAACTATTTAATTTTAAAATTATTAATGAGTTTAATAGTCATTTTATTTATTTATTTACTCTTGTTCCTCTTTGCTGACGGTCTTCCATAGGGCTCCGGCACTTCTAATTTTAGAAATTAAGCCCTAAATAAAACCAAAAATAACCGTTAAAGAAAAGGGAGGCACCTGAAAGAACTCGCCTGAAGGTTTCTAACCAAACATTTTCGTGGCGTTAAATGTATATGTAGTTAGCCATGATGAAAATAAAGTTCAGATGTTGTGAACGCCCGTGTGACTTAAGATTTAAAGTAATATCCTATTTATCATTTTAACTGAAATAAACTGGTTCAGACTTTTGAAGCGAATTCAGTGCGCTCTGTATTGAGGAATTAGAAGGCAAGATCAAAAATCAGAAACTTAAAATTAAAATAAATAAATAAATAATAACGATTTCCCAGTAGTCGGGAGATATTTGTGTTAAACGTTCGATCCCTTTTCCTTATATTTTGAACAGAAAGGAAACGATAAAAGCAGTCATTTGACAGAAGCCATTACGAAAAAGATGGTAAGGAAAAGTTAAAGGAATGGAAATTTCTTCTTTTTAGACCCAGACAATTTACCAGTATGAAAGACGATACATTACAGAACTGTTGTTCTTCTTTGTCGAACTTTTATTAATTGATGAAGAAGCAGCGATTTATAATTTATTGTACATCTAAAAATTTGTTGTGTAAATATCAAAAACTACTAACTAAAATCAGGCTCCACTTAGTTTGTAATTTTCAGAGGTTTGGAGACAATTAGACGAGTTGTTATAATCCTACAAGATGTCTTAAATATGCCAAAATTTACAGATCTTATGAAAGCCAGCTGTAAAAAGATGGTAATATATATGTGTGTGTTCTTTGCATATGGTGGCTACATGTCTTAAAAAATTTTAAGACATGTAGCCACCGGGAATATGCTAAATTTCTTAAACGAAGACAAATTCTTCAGCAAATAACAAGGCATGAATTTATTAACAAGCTAGAAAGTTTCCCTAACTTTGAAAAGGACGAAAATGATTTTTAAAAAAAATTGATAAAAATAAAATAAAACAAATTTGCGGACGTTCTATTACAATTTCATGGTTTATGGTACCAACGAAATTTCTAGCATCATTGACTTAACAAGATGGCTGGAGATATCTAATTCTCCATTTGATAAAATGAAAAATCAACGTTTAAGTTATGAATTAACAAAGAACACTGATGACATTAACTTATTTTGCTTAATTATTATTTATTGGTTTCTTCATAGATGAAAACACAGCTCTGGAATTTTAGCCTAGCAAACTCTAACGGAGAATTTTGTAGACTTTCAAAGAAGTTGTGTGAAATAATTAGAATTTGTTCGAGCATTGATTTAATTTGCAGGTCGTTCTGAATTTGAGTGTTTCTAACAAACCAGGATGCGTTAACTATGGTCCTCAGAATTTTATTTTGAAGTACATCTAAACGAGCTCTGTTCGTTTTTGTTATATAAAATTAGCATAACTGTTTGATTTAAGATTGTTCCAAGTATTAAATTAAAATGTCTTTAACCACGGTCAGATTGCAATTCATTTTTTAATTCTATGATTTTTATATTTTTAAAATGTTTTTAAATACTTTTTTAACTTTTTGAAATTTTATCATCCGACAATTTTCGATGTCTTAGGTCTTATTTTCTAGGTACACTGAGTTTTCAAATCATAATAATAATTAAAGTTTTCAAATTTTTTTTTTAATATTATGTTAAAACTGTGAAGGAAAAGTATGTTAGGTTAATAGAAAAACAACGAGCTTTTGTTTCATCGATAAAGGACTTCCTATACAAATCCATTTATAAATGCTTAAAATAGCAATTTAATAAAGAAATAAATAAATAAACTCTTCAGAAAGATTGGCACTAGTATGCACATCAATTCAATAAAAAAATTTTAAGCGTGAAACAGTCATTAGTAATGCTCACGTTTAATACACAACAAAATTTTTAAAAAGTGTACTTACCCCAAAATTTATGAAATGTGTACAGATGCTTATGACGAAATGTTGATCCCATACCTGTAAAAAACATTTAAATTTCGATTTGCTTTTCTATATTATTATCTACATATAGTTATTCAAGCATTAATTAGAGACGGTTATTTGTGCCGAAGTTTTAATTGTGATTGTATTTCTTCTTATTGAAAGAAAAATGTTTACTGTATTTTGAATAATGTTTTGGTTACGTAATTAGCAAACTGTGCGCAGAGCACGAAGCGAAATATTCCAATAATTTCTCTGAAATGATTCATAGACCATGTGGTTTTAGAATCAGACCATCAAAGTGATAAATTAGCAGGATATAATAGCAGGAGGCTATGAGGAGATGCTATGTAAACCACTAACTGCTTCGCTTTGCTGAAGACAAAAATTTGCAGCAAGGAATTATCTGTGTTTTTGGATATTAGTGAAAGATTAATATTTGCGGCGGGTTATAAAACTCCAAATCTCTTTATGATGGCAATGTCACATCCATGTGAATGAATTTTCGACAGTTAGTGCATTAAAAAGCGTTATCGTGAGAAAATCAAGTTGATTGATTGGTTAATTGTCTAAAATAAAGCACCTGAAAATTCATCTGAAAGAAGAAATGAATATGGTATGTATTTGTCTCAAAGATTTGAAAATATTTATCGTAAACAGCGGGTTCACGCATTCCACTATTTGTAATTTATTTACAAATGATAGGGTCGTTGAATAGACGCCGTTATTTAATACTTTTATGTAAATTACTTGTGAATTTATAATGCATATTTTTAGACCAAAGCGGCTTTGTCCTTGAAGGACTATTGTTTCCGTTTTGCGATTTTGCGTTGAATCACTATAAATGTCCGTTTCACTTTTCAAACTGTTGCCACCAAATGTTAGAGTCCTGCACTATATTTGAAGAATTAATTAAATATGAAAATCATAATTATTATATTCTCTATGTGTAAAACAACGGTACATAGAGCCATCGAATATTTTGAATGACTAATCCTCCTACAATATGGCTTGTAGAAGACCAAATTTGAAATTGAATTTTTTATTATCGATTTCGTATTTCTAAAACTTTAACGAATTTTTTAGTAACAAACTCGCGATTAAAAGCGAGCAATGAGAACTCTAGGTAAAAATTCTAAAGATATGCTCATAAAAAAAAAAAAAAAAAAAAAAACTATTTTGCGAATACTATTGAAAGAATTTGGTTTAAGTGCAAATAACATGATATTTAATAAATAAAGGTAACACACAAAACGTTAAAAAAACGCCCCTTTGAGCGTAATTTAAAATCTGAAAACCTTTTTTTTTTTTTTTTTTTTTTTTTTAAACTTAACCAACCTAACTTTGTAAATAGCAGATAGGTCTACATTCTGTGCCTGGACGTGGTAAACCGAAAACGTTTGGAAACTACCAGTTTTAGCTAATAACTGGATTTTTTTTTTTAACGCTATTATCAAAAACACAAAATTCCCTTTATTGTAAAATGTTGTACTCTACTAAGATTTGAAACTAAGACTCCACTTTTAAGCATCCCTTCCCTTTGAATGTGACCGTATTGTGACTGGATACAGCTTTTATGTGTTTTATTTTTAACCACGTCTTTTAATCATAGAAAGTGTATTAGCACGTAGTACAGCGCCGGTGGAATGTCTATTTCACTTCAACGGAACATTTGTAAAGACCTAGCTTCGGCTGTCCTTTAAACCCAGGACCTTTTTATCCAGAGTATGCGAAACTGCTGTTGAGCTATGATAAATGTTTTTCGACTAAAATAGTTTTTACATAGGCTAAATCTTGAATGATTCGAATTTGTTATGCTCTAAAATTTGTTTGTGTTTTAAGCAATGTAATCTGGACCATGCCTTCTTCATACAAATTCAAAAAAAAAAAAAAAAAAACAAGCATGCTGTTCAGTCAGAAACGTATTAAGTTTCCTAAATAATTTATCCTGATTTTAAGAGACAGCACATTTGCTGCTTGCGAAGAATGCGCAGATTTGACTCCTGACTGGAGAGCTTACTTAGTTCGGTTTTTCGGAATAACTGATAAAAAAATGACTCGAAATAACGGTTTCAGCTTTCATATGATAGCCTAACTCAATGAATTTAATTCAAGTAGCAGTTTTAATTTTTGAATTGACAGCATGTTAAAAAAGTATTGTTACGAAAAGCAAAGCTGCGGTAAGATAGCTTCCCCGCAAAGGGTTGCCAGATTTGGTGCGAAATCGTCCATTTGGCGACATGCCATAGACGGAGCGAGAATACGCTAGAACAAATTCTTAGGGTTTTTCCTCAGGAATATTCTCGAAGGTAGGTTAAAGCCATATCCTGCCAGTACGCGAAGAGGGATCTTGAATGCAGTAGTGTAGTAGTAGTGTCTTGAGAGCGATCGACCGAGTCGGGAGCTGTACTTTAGTGCTTTTCCGTGAAGCTGTTTTCCCCGTTACAGCCTGAAGGTTGTGTTGCTGATTGTTTTAGTGTGTTTATCGTAGTTTTTCAACGACTGTACAGATGGTTTTGGATCTGTCCTGTATAAAACTGGCGAATAAATTGTGTTTTTAGTCTTCTTCATGAAGTGATATCGTCAGTTACTACAAATCCACAAACCCGTAGAACGCTACAGTATTATATCGCTAAGGCACATCCTAATTTTTTAATTTACGGATTTTTTTTATTACAGATTGCAAATATTCAACCACTCTGTTCGCGTGGTTTTCAACCTGGATCGAAATACCAGGACTCAGTATACCTAACCATACGGCTATTAGGGGATGACATCTAAGAGAAGGAACAAACTGCGCTTATATAACTGATTTGTTTGTTCTCTTGGTAGTGTACTACAGTTTGAAAATTCAGCCGAGAGCTCGCCTCTGGCAGTTTTTGAGTGAAATCTTATTTCAAGCCCCTAATAAGATTAACTCCTGTATTTTAGTTTAATATTTAAGTATTTGTCATTAATCGAAAATTAATTAATTGAATTTTTATCTACTTACACTTCATTTGATTCATATTTTAATATTTTATTTATTTATATTTATTTAATTTTCTTGACGACCTTTCACAGACTCATTATAATTTATAAATTATGGCATTTATAAATTAAACCCTAGTTGAAGCATAGTTACGCACAGTAGCCCTTGGTATGGGGATTCATGATTTCTTTTTTATAAGACTGAAATTTTCAATTCATTAAAATATATTTACGTACCGTTGATGTAAAAAAATAAAAATGCCATATTCTGCAAGAAAAACTGCTAAAAAGTTCTTAAAATGTCATTTTACAGCAAGATAAATAAATAAAATAAAAAATAAAGATAAAATCTGTGAAAGCAGAAGAACGATATCTAGCTTCTCTATCAACATGATAATAATTAAGCACCTGCTAACAAAAACCTGAGTTGTTTATCCAGGTTACTGCTCGACGCGACAGCACCGGTCGCACTAGCATTCTCGCCTTCCCTGTGTGCACCTAGTTTTAAAACTCCTGTACAAGTTATAAAAGAATAGCTCAAAGCATATTTACAGAATTATACTTAAAATGTATTAAATAAATGGCAGCTTGTTTTGCACTTTGGAGTTATTAAAAAGAATTTAACATTTTTGTGACCTGCTTTCTTTATCCTGAAAACTATTACGATTACTCCAAAATCTGAAAGCAGGGTTCAGAGGCAGCCAGCTACTACACAAACATTTTATATTAATTAACATATATGAACACATTCCACTGAAACAAAATTCACCAGCATAATAGTAATATAATACATAAAGGAATATATGAGGAAGCAGCAACGCAACACTAAGTACTGTTTACAAAATAGACAACATGGTAAGAAATATTTATAAAATATAAAATTTTAAAGATAATTTTAAATGCTTATTTAAGTGCAAAAAAAAAAAAAAAAAACCGTTGCAAGATTGACAACAGTAATTTTCTACTATTGTTCGAATGAAACTTATATTTCCGTTACCAAAACAAACTAAAATTTAATAAGCATCTAAATCCCTCTTATAACATATAAAATATACATACTGTAATTTATGTAATTGTCTTTCGTGCTTCGAAGTCTCACTAATTCACTGAATTACACAGAACTAACAGTTTAGAACACCATTAACAACTTCGACACATTTTCTTTTAAACTTCGTTAAGAAATGAACAGGAAGCCGAGCAAGTGAAAGCCAATGCTTCTTAAAAATTCAACTAGAAAAAAAGAAACACAAATGCGTGGGTTCATTTTTGGCAGACACTTCTTGAGTTTATTTATAAACCAATTCGTTTCTTCCTAGACGGGGGTAAAAGTTGTATTGTGTAAACGTCTATAAGCCGCACGTTACTGTCGGCGATGACGTCATATCATAAGCAGATGACTCGCTGGAATAAACAGTTGATACGGGCTAAATACTATATATGGAAATTTCCGTGAATTTTTTATGCTTAACTTCTGAATTATTTGGAATGATGGCTGTGCATTTCACCTAAAACCACTAAAGAAGCAAATACCATGTTATTAGTAATAAAGCTTTCAGAATAAGTCGGCGAAGAAAATTTGGCATTTTTATTGTACTTTTTTACATCCTTGTACGAAGTAAAGGAGGTATTGTAATCGCGAAAAATTTCGAGTATCATATTCAACGACAATATCCATTTTGAAAGCTCTCAAATCAGATTTGAAAGATGTTTTTGCGTGACATTTGTACATACGGACAGAATAAAGGACAGCTTTTGCCAAAGAGGACTATAAAATGAATTTAAAATGGATTCAGAAAAATATTTTCCCTTGACTTCTGTACGTATGTACGTATGTATGTATGAATCTCGCATAACTCAAGAACAAGTAGTCGTGGGACTTTGAAATTTTGTATATGAGACTGCTATAACATGTAGTTGTGTACCTCCCTTTTTCGTTGCAATCGGAAAACCAGTCGCATATACTCATTTCAAAATTTAAATTTTACTTAAAAAAATTTGGGGAATTTTTTAAGACATTTTAAGACTTTTTTTAAATTTAAATTTTACTTTAAACCATTTTAAATTTAAATTTTACTTTAAACCATTTTTAAATTTTAAACATTTCAGTTTTACATAAGTACTTTTTAATTATTACTTTTTAATTTGCAATTTTCACTAAAAATAATTTTTTCACTTAACGTTTTTATTTGCATTATTTACACAATTTTGCAACACACATTTAACATTACAAACAGTTTACATTTATTAATTCACAATAACCACTTAACTCTACTTTACTTCAATTAGAGTACTTTTTTTTTATGATATTTGCAGAGCAAACTTACATCTCTTGATTGGCTCAGCTACTAAACTCCCTACCATGAATAGTTGGTCAGTTAAAATTAAAACTTGAATTACATAATTTTAGTATATCTTTGATTTTTCTAGATTATATTATTTAAATATTTTAATTAAAGTTTACAAAATTTTTATTAAAACAAGATAGCAGCTTGGCACTCAACTTTACTTACATAAGCGCCATCTATATAATTTGCAGAACACCCTACATCACTTAGGAAATACTTTACAGACCCCACGAACATGTAGGTTAGTTAGAATTAAAACTTACTATTTACTTCCTTTTAAGTATTTTTAAAAGTATTTTTATGTAGTATTTAAGTATTTTCTAGATATGTAATTATATTTTAAGTATTTTATTTGTTTTGTATAATTTAGAATTGTTTTTTTTAGTTTCTTATTGATTTATATAATTATGTCTGGTTCCTTTTAGTTTCTTTGATTGATATCATATTCATGTCGGGAGGTTCTGTAGACAAGGTTCTAAAATGCATTGGTTTCTAAATTAATTTTTCTGAAAATTTAATTTAAAAACATTTTTTTTTAAATTAATTTAATACTAGATTTTACATTGCTATTCTCAAAGTACTTCATTATTGGTATTTTCCTTTTAGACCTTTATTTAATTGCTAATTTCTCAAGGTACCACTTTATTGGTATTCTTTTGGACATTCTTCACTATGTATTTATTTTGGTTTGACTTTACCCTTGCCTGCATGAATGACGAAACACGAATTTAATGATTTTTGAAAATGAAATCTTATGTTTGCACATTTTTTAATTATTTTAACTTTAAATTTGCTTTTTACGTATATACATGTTGTTAAAATACAGTCGCATATATATATATTCACACTATATTACCTGGCTTGGAGAGCTTAGTTTTTTTCTTCTTATACGAGTATGTTGGTAAATTGTGCATTTTTTGCTTTAAAAGTGATTACATTATGTGGGTTTTATGTACCGGTTAAAGAATTTATGCCTTTAGTTAACCTACATGAAGTAATTGTTGAATTAAGATACAATAACATGCTGAACAAGTATTAATTTAGAAGTCAAACGACAAAAAGCAGCATTATTTTTTCAAATTTTCACAGGACTAGTTTCGATGGTTTATGCGAACCATCATCCTCAGCTGCAACAGCTTTAGTGTGTAAGCTAAAAGTGTAATTGGCGAGTTAAGCCTAACGAACCGCCATTTGTTTACATTTGAAACTCAGTAGAATTGTGAATATAGTCAGTTTTTGCACCTTCAATGTCTTTTTGCCGTGTGGGAGCAAAAGTAAACTTTCAGTTTTGTGCACCGAAAAATCTGCCTTCTTTCCCAATTGCTTGGTTTTGCATAGAAACTCTAATTTTAATTATAAAAAATTGTTTTAACTGTATTTGGTATTTTATGTTTTTCTGTTTGTACAATTTTTAATGTAGATGCTTTGAAATTTTATGTATTTTTGCTTTGCCGCGGATTAAGAGCTGAACTAATTTGATGAGAACTATAATGAAATTTGAAGAAATAAGTTTAAATGAAGTGGAGCAAAAAATGTATATAATTTAATAGGCTATACAAGGAAATCCTGTGGTTTCACATCAAATTTTTTAATGTATTAATTTAACTGACTTTATAAGGTATTTCTCCCGTCTTCTTGGCGTGCCTTCGTGGTGTAGTGGTCTGCATGCTGGGCACGTATTCCAGAGATCCGTGGTTCGATTCCCGGCGAAGGCGTTGTTCATTTTTCAAGTCTTTTGCTTATGAATAACCTAATAGCTCTACAACTTATCAACAAAGATTTTATTTTGCTTTTAAAAACGTTAAGTGATAATCTTTGTTGGACATAACAAACTACTGTTAAAGATTTCTATAACTGTAATGGTACTACATCTACCTCAAAATTTAATCAATAAAACTAGGTGCATGAATATAAAATTAGGAAGGGAAAAATATCCATAGACTGACGCGGATTTTTATATAAAACTCTACCATTTTAAAGGAAACTGATATAGGCTTCTCTTGTTCAGAAGCAAAAACTTTGGAAGTTTTTCTAGATATAGCTCTATATTAGCTATCAAAAGCATAATAAACGTATATCGATAAACATTCATTTGGTATCAGGATTGTCCAATTTTTCTGTTCGAAGGGTCCCTTAAACATTTTGCACCCGACTCTCGCATCACAGATTGTCGCACGTTCCATAAATTAGTAAAATAAACATTAAAAAATTAGAAATTACTAAATTGACTTATCAGTTTATAATCTGATTATCCATAATAAATGTAATAAATGCAAAAACTTTAGAAATGGAGTGTAAAAGTATGCATTACAAATTTTCCACATTGATAATTATGTAATATAGAATTGCTTTTATGATTAATTATATTCTATTGTTAAGTTAACCCATTTCTAATTTTTTTCGCTTTTACTTTTTTTTTTTTATTTATGCAACTGATTTAATGTGAAATCTGGCACAGGTTTTGTTTTATGCATATCGGCAGTATCTACCCATACACCTGACGTAGTGAAGCTCGGAATTCCCTGTGGTTATTCCTTATGCTTTTCATCCTTGAGAAGAACTATTTGCTATAATACGTTTTAGCAAACTCGGAAGTATGTTAAATGGCTCCAAGCATTTAGATAGAAATCTGCAAGAATTTTTTTTTTTTAAACAAAATGTTAACAAGTTCTGAGAAAACCCTTTTCATACCCCTTTCAAAACCCTTTTCAAAGCGAAAACAACTTCATTTTACGTCATATATTTTGAAATCCGAAATTCTTTTTGTAAATTCATATTGAAATTTTCAAATAGTCTGGAGTTATTTTCAACTTTTTTTTAAATCACTGATGACCTTTTTGATAAGATAGTGAAATAAATAACTTGATTCAAAAATCAGTTGCTTTGATGCAATCTTAATTTCTATATGACCGCTTGAAATGTTTGTACAGCATATTGATAAGTGACTCTCTTCTTTGTGATTTCAGATTAAGTTTGGAAGATAATTTATAGGCATTTTCTATAATGTTAAGTTATTCAATCCTTCAGTAGTGTAGCGAGAAGAAAGGAGTAATTTGCTCCGAGCGACGTATTTTAGTAAGCAGTACTTTTACGTGAGATGTTTAATTTTGGGGCAATTCTTTCATTTATGTTGATATTAAATTTTTATTACTTAAATAATAATTCGTTTTTAACAACTATAGTCGAATTTCCGATTAATGGCTACTCGCAAGACCAAGGCTTTTATCCGTTCTCAGGGAATGTTCACTAAATGGGAGAGAAAGGGTCTTCTACTTTGAAAAATTCAAGAATAAGTTTCTGCGTTCCAGGATAATAAAACAGTTAATTTTAGTTAACCAAACTGCTTTTGATCTTTAAATAGGAAACTCTTTTAAATAAATACATCTACGAGCTTCGATTTTATTCTCTAATTTATATTCTTTTCGACCTTTTACCCAGAAATATAATCGTTGCTTTCTGAAGAATTTTAAGTATTTTTAAAACAGGCACAAAAAAAAAAAAAAAAAAAAAAAAAAAGAGAGAGAGAGAGAGAGAGAGAGAAAAAACCGAGAGATTATTGAAATCCAAAAATATTTGCTAGGACATTCTCATTACTCAGTGTTAGCCTTAATTATTTTTTAATTAATTGTATTTTACATTACTTTATGAATCTTCAACAGATAATCCTAATTACTTTATTAACCATCTAATCAACTTGAATAAAACATTACAGCAGTTAAATACAAATAAATTTATTATGGCAGCAATTTAAAGATAGTTCAAGTAAAGTAGTTGTATGTTCACAAAGTAATTCAATTTAAATTAATATTTAATTAAATGTTTTATCAATAAATTTAAAAAGTGTTTATTCAATAAATACAAGAACACGAATGAGAAACAGT